CAGCCTTCTACCCTAAACCAGACCTTGTCTTCTACCCTGGAACTCTCCTTAGGGGCAGGATTCCTGAGTGCATCCTTAGTATCTTTCCCATGATCTCTACATTTCACACTGACTTTTTTTTTTTACATCATTTGCCTATTTTGCTTCATACCTCCTTGACTATCATGCAGTTCCTTACTAGAACCTACAAACGTCCCAAAGGCTTTCACCCACTCTTGCTTGTTTTCTCTCATCCTTTCTTGGGGTGGGTGAGGCTTCATCCCTTAGTATATTTTCAACATGCGTCTGTATGGAGATTTCTCAGACCATCTAGAAACCTGCTGTTTCCCCCTCTATCAAGTTCGTTATTTCTGCCTACTGTGCACTGTCACTTGGAAATCATAGTGACATCCCTGTTTTAACCAAAAATTACCCAGGTCTGGGCTCTACAGCATCTCTGTGGTGGGTAATGTTGCAGGTTAACTGACTGGCATTGAGACTCTGACTTCTTTTGTCTTGCTGGCATTGCTGTACCAACTCTTCCTAGCCCCCTAAGTTCTGGTTGTTTCTGACTCTTGGCTGCAGTCTTAGCCTCTAATTGGTACCCAGCATACATAGTATTAGAGAAGGTCCCTACCCTCAAGGAACTCAAGTTCTAATTAGAATATCGGCAAACATTATTGAGTACTTAGTATGTGCCAGATACTATTTTAAGTCCTTTACATGTACTAACTTATTTAATTAGGGAGAAACCATAAATAATTACTAGCCACGTGAATAAAGGACAATGAAGAGAACAATTAATTCTACCATTAATGGTCAAGGAGGCCTCACAGAGGTGACATTTGAGATGGGACTCGTAAGATATCCAGGGTTTCCCTAGGCAACAGACATTTTAGAGGAACCGCACAGCTAGGAGCCCCAGGGGTTGGAGCAGAGGGTGTGAAGGATCAAGTCAAGTCAGCATCCTTCTGAGGATGAGTAGACCTGAATCAGTGGGCAGGGCTTTGAATGCTGTGTACAAAGGTTTAGACTCTGTCCTTTAAAAGACCTTCAGTATCTCCCCCTTCTCTGAGCCAAAACAATTTTTGACCAGGTCTATGTTTTAGAATAGCAATTTCTGTCATCTGCCTAAAGAATGGATTGTAAAAAGGAAGGAGGGGGCCAGTAGAGAATATTTTTCAAAAGCCTGAATGAGCTAAAGACCTATATCTGGACACTGGCAATAGCAAGGGAGAATAAAGAAGAAATTCAAATGAAGGGAAAGGTAGAATTGGTTAAACACAAATATAAATGTGAGGGAAAAGTTGAAAGATGAAACAAGGTTTCTAGCAAAATCTTCCCGAAAATAGGGAGAACAAAAGAAAGGGTGGGAGAAAATGGATTTTGTTTGGGTCATGAAAGACTGTCAGGTAGAAAAACGTCCAGTGGACAGTTAGAACTGCAGCTCAGGAGCAAAGGGCTAGAGGGAGATTTGAGAGTTTAAAATATGCTGAGCAAGAGAGGACCAAGGATAGAATGGTGGGGAACACCACAATTTAAGGGGCAGGAAGATTAATTGAAGAGCAGTTAGAGGTAAGAGGAGAACCTAGGAAAGCTGTTTAGAAGCCAAGCTCAATAATTCCTTTGCCAAAAGAATGAGCTCGTGGGTAAGTTGGTTAGCCAGAGAAGTGAGGATGAGGGCTGGCTGAGAACTGGACACTGGAGTAAGTATCAGAGGACTTTATACTCATCTTAGGTTTCTTCAGACAAGGGACGCTGTTGCGGTAAGTTTGAAAATGGGCATTTTCTGACCAAGGAGAGCCAGTGGGATGGTGGACTGACAGTGCCTCACTTACTTGCCCTCTCTGCTGTGTCCCTTCCACTCAGAGCCCCGAAGCCAGGACAGGAGACGGCGGCAGCAGCCACTGACCTATCACCTTACTTCAAGCAGCCTGTCCTCATCCCCAACTCCTGCCAGTTCTAGCCTAGCCTCCTCACGCAACATGGGCTCCTGCCTACTGCCCAGCTCACTCAGCATATCAGGTCTGTATGCGCTGCCACTGAAATCTAGGTTGGCAGCCTCCTTCCTTCCTTACCACGCAGGGTGTAGAGCAGGCTCCTGAGGAAATCCTGCAGCTCTGTTGCCCCCAGACCTGGACCTCCTTCTTGACTTGACGTGATAGAGGCCTCTGTAGACCAGGGGCATCAGTTATCGCCCAGAGGGATCCTAAACCCCAAACACCCATGCCCTTGTACAGGAAGCTGAAATTTAATGAATGTCTTTTTTTTTTTTTTTTAAATGAATGTCTTTGTATAATAGTAGTTCCCATTTATTGAGCATTTACTATGTGGCAGGCACTGCTCTAAGCTCATTATCTCATTTAATCCTCACTTTTACAGTTGAGGAGCATTATGACTTTTCCTACCTGCTACTGATTGAAGCTCCCTGCCTCCAGGAGCTGGACATTAGACAAAACTGCAGAATGAAAAAAAGGATAGGCCTGCCATCACCACAAATATGTGACCATATCAAGCACACAAAACCTTGGCCATCTGCTCTCCTTTTGTTCTATCCCAGCTGCCACAACATTAGTAACAAAGAAACAGAATTTCCAGAGGATGAGGCCCAGACATCAAGATTTTAAAAAGATTGCCAGGTGATTCTAATGTGCAACCAAGGTTGAGAACCACTGCTCTAAGGTCTATAAATTCAGAGTAATTCAAGCTCTGATTTGCTGCTCCACCCCTTGAACAAAACTAGAGCATGCCAAGCTTCTTAACCAAGGGCAACCACCTCACCACCTCTGCACATGTGCCAATGTCTAGAGACATTTTGGGTTGTTAGAAATGGGGAGGGGCAGGAAGAGGAACACCCTCTAATCCAGCGGTTCTCAACCTATGGGTCGCGACCCCTTTGGCGGTCGAACGACCCTTTCACAGGGGTCTCCTAAGACCATCCTGCTTATCAGATATTTACATTACGATTCATAACAGTAGCAACATTAGTTATGAAGTAGCAACGAAAATAATTTTATGGTTGGGTCACAACACGAGGAACTGTATTTAAAGGGCCAGAAGGTTGAGAACCACTGCTCTAATGGGTAGAGGCCAGGGATGCTGCTAAACATCCTAGAATGAAACAAAGAACTATCCAGCCCAAAATGTCAATAATGCCAATATTAAGAAACCCTGATCTAAAGGAAGTTCCCTCTTCCCCGTGGCCCCTACCCTGATATGTTTCTTTTGTTCTCAGGGAGCAACTGCTCACTCCTGTCCTCAGGGGACAAGCCAGAGGCGGTCATGGTGATTGGGAAAGGTCTACTAGGAAATGGACCTCGAATCCCCTGTGTCAGGACCCGATTACAGGTAACATTTTTGGGTCTTCCCGTCCCCAGCATAACAACTATGGCAGAACCCAACAAGCAACTGTTCATCTGGTAGTAGGAGGGGGAATGCCCAGCACTGCTTTACCTCTCCCCAACCATTTAAGAGAGCTCTTCTGGTGTCTCGAGTGCCTGTCTGTCCAGTGTCCCATCCCCTTCAAGCCAGGTCTCTTGCTTGCTTTCAACCCCATGTCCCTGCCGGATATACCCCGACCTCAGCCTGCTAGCTTTGGCTTTGTCTGCCCCTGCCCTTAGTTTCTCCTCTCTTTCTGCCCAGACCTGCCCGAGGAGAGTTCCCGCCAGGAGGGGTCCCGGATTCCCCAGGTAACACATCTGATTGCTGCTCCTAGGAACAGCTGTGCCACCAACGCCAATTCAGTCCAGACCCCCATGCTAGTTGGCTAAAGTTGGGTATAGGCAGAAGGTGAATGGACGGGTGAAACGTAAGCTGGTCTGGCAGGGGCTGAGGCACAGAAGGCTGAGAAAGGTCTACCAATCCTCCAAAAGCTTTCTACACAGTACTTGTCTTTGGTACAAATCTTGGCCATGATATAGCCATGGAGGTTAAATGGTGGATCCTTTTGCCTCCCCTAGTTAAATAAGACTCAGAGTATATAGTTATAGATTGAACCCGAGTTCTCTATTATCCTCTCAGCTAGGGAACGTGCCCAGGAATTAAAGGTCCTAGTACCTCTGTTGACTGCTAAAGCACACCCTTACTCATGGGAACTCTAGAAGCACAAATATTCACGGAAGAACCCAGCTTCTTAGCCCACCCCCTATCCACAGGCTAGGTCCAGGTTGGGCTGGGGCTCACCGCCGACTTGCAGAGGGATGAGAGGCTCTTCGGGCCCCACATCCCCTATCCTCTGGACCAGGGAGAGCAACGAGCCGGAGCCGGGACCCCGCTCTGCACCAGGGTGAGCACAGATTGTCCCTCACCCCACTTCTCGTTTCTACCCCCTCATTCCCAGTTCTGCCACTCAGGATCATTTCCTTCCTGAATCCTTGACCCCCAAAAGACTAAATGTACTTTCATTAGGAATCTAGTACCTGTTTTTTTCCCCATAATGGCCTCAGTCTTCACTCCAGTGAATAAGAAAACTGTTAGGGTCTAAGGCCTAGGAGCTGGCAGGTTCCAGCATCAGACCACTGTGCAGTACTCAATACTGTGCCTATCCTTACCCATCCCACCTCTCACTTCCCAGCCCCTGGCTAACAGACCAGAAGAGAAGCAAACTTTTCACAACCCTGATTCCTCTCTTTTCTGTTGCAGGCTGCCTCAGGCCGCACCTCCACGGCCCCACTCTGCCCCTGCCATTTCTCCTATTTCCTGTAGTCTATCTGACTCCCAGTCTCGGACTTGTTACAGCGGGGGGCCCTTGGGCCAACCTGAGGTTTGTTTTGTCCCTAAATCTCCCCCATTCACTGTTTCTCCCCGGGTCTGATGCCTTGACCTTCATGCCCAGGATATAGCCACAAGATGGGGAACACTGTGAGAAATGTGCTAGTCTCCTGCCTCAGCTGCTGATTCCATGTGACAACTATAACTCCTCAGAATGCCATTCACACCGTGCTGAGGCATCACAGAGCATTACCTTGAGACAGGGCAAAGCAGGGAATGTGTCACCCCTTCCCTCCCTCCACAGCACAAGATTTTGGGACCACAAAAATATCTATATTTTTATATCGGGGGGAGGGAGTAGAAAAGAAAGCAGCCCTATACTGGGCCCTACTCAGTGGCAGCTTCTTGTTCCATAGGGTTAAGGAAGACTTTGAGGAAATAAAAGTTGTTTGGAAAAATCCAGGTGTAGTTGCTTTATATGCTGTGATGGGTAGAAGGGATGAAGTGAAGTGTGAAGGCCCCTCACACCCTCCATCTTGCCTCAGACTCTGTCCTGGAGCCCTAGAAAAGAGGGAAAGACCGGAGGTAAGGAAAATGCTGTTTTACTCGGAGGAATCCTCCGGGAATCAACTCCCATCCACCCTCTCTCCCCTTTACATTGCGACCCACACTTAAGGTTGGTCTCCAAGCCCTCCCCCCCACCCCTTTCTTCTCTATGACTTGGGTCTATAGCCGCCAACCCCTAGCTCAGTGTCTCTTGCCCCAGAACATGGAAATAGAATTCTATATCTTTACAATCCCTCACTCACAAAAAAAAAAACAAAAAAAAACCTGCCTAAGTAAGTCTAAATAATCTTGGAAAAGTGAGGACTGTTTAAGTGAAGAAGAGCTCAAATCCTCATTCGTGGATGGCATCCTCAGTACCCTCATTCCTACCTGGCAGTGCCAGCTTGTACCCATACCCCCAACTTGGGCATCTGGGGACTAGGAAACGCACCCCAGGGGTCAGCTGAAGCGGGAGGGAGTGCGGACAAGGGGCCCAGTGCTAGCGCTGCATGCTTGGCCCCACGCTTTCTGATGGGAAGTTTCGAACCCCGCAGGCCCTGGCACGGCCTCGCCACTCCCGGGCTGGGCGCTACAGCCCCAGACCGTTACCTGGGGCGGAGAAAGCGCCACTTTCATTCCTGCTTCTTGGGATTGTTGACGGCCACGTAGTGATAGAGAACGACAAGCAGGAAGAGCGACACGCCCAGCATGTTGGCGAAGATGGCGAGCTGCACGTCGGTGATCATCCTGCGGAGAAGAGGGCGGGCTGAGCCTGCGGCCGACACCACACCCGGCCCAGACCTGGGCCCGTCCTCGCC